GCGTCATTGAGGCGAGGCGACGGCGCGGGGCAGCCGAGACAGCCCACGTGCGTACTAGGACATGGCGAGCGGCAGCACAGCACAGTGTCGTAGTGGCGTCGGTAACGGCAGCGTCACGATGCGAGAAGGGTCGGTAGTGCGGACGCGACGGCAGCACAGCGCGGCCGCGGCGGCACCCAAGACGGCAACGTGAGGCAGAACAGTAGGGCACAGGGCCAATGGCTCGCTGCGGCTGGCCTCGGCCAAGCCCGGGCGGCCTGATCGACCCAGCGCGGCGGCGTAAAGTGAGGCGCGACCATGTGCGCGGCGTGAGGAGGCGGCACGGTGATCGCGCACCCGACGCCAACCAACCCGAGATAGTGACGCGCACGAATTTTAAAAAGCGCTCAACACAACCAAACGGTTACTTTAGGACCTAAACCATCTTCACCATGCTCAAGATGGCATTTGAGACTATCAAATCGAGGTATAACACTATACCACTCCTTAACCCAATCTATTACAATAAATTACTAAACATAGCAATGTCTAGCCGTCGGCGGACTTAAAAATTTCTAAGTTTTTGAGCTGAAATTGATTTTCATTTGCGATTTCTAAGCTAGTGGAAATATTAGCTAGTAATATCATGTTTCGACCGCAAGTATTTCACTGTCATCTATAAAGTTTGCACTTTAAACTTTATTAAGGTGTCACATATATGTTCTATAGCATTTTTGCTTAATAAAAATTGATTTTAAACCCTAAATGATATAACATGACTATCGAATCAACTTTCGTTTAGCACCTTTTGTTGATCGTTTTGAGTTACGAAAATTGATCTACACACTTTATTACATGTATTAACACATAAACATGGTGCTCATGACATGTTTTAGTAAATGATTTACTGTGTAACACCGAGTGTGTTACACGCGGACTGCTCAGGAAAGCGGCGGCGGCGGCGGCGGTCATGCCGTGCCATGGAGGCGCGGCTGGCTGCTAGCCTGGCAGTGGCGGCACAGCAGCCCCCATGCAGCCGGCCGGCTGCTCGACGAAGGCCTGTGCGCGTGCTGTGTTCAACTAGGAGGAGGACAGAGGAAGGGGATGACACATTGGGCCCGCCTGTAAGTGAGATAGAGTGAGGGGTATTTTGGTTTATACGAGAAATACAAATTTGTCCGTACACCTACATATGGGCCTAAAGACGTTGTATACGTGTATAATGGCATATTTCAGCTTTGACGAGAATTGTAATGACAGTGGTATAGTTTCTTAATATAAATGGTGTGTTTCAGAAACGATAAAATTATAATGGCACAGATCCAATTAACCCAAAATACATTTGTATTGGGGCTATAGTTTTATTTTTATTGGTGCCTATACATTATGAACCATCAGTGAAAATATCATAAGCATCACTAAAAATCGATTTTTATACTACTGGGAACATGAGTTATTTGAACCATTTTCACCCCTACACATGATGATGTGAAAGATTGATGGGATAGTGCGATTATGAGCGTCTTTGGTTCGTGAGCAAGTGTAGCCTCTCCCTACCTCATTTTCGTGGCCTGAGCAAACTTGCCTCGCCAGTGAAAGCAAGTTGACGCTTGCTAGTAAAAGCAAGAAAAAAAAAATCTCGCTAATACAGGCATCGAGGAAGCCTTGCTTATCAACCAAACACGCAATTCTCTCATTTGACAATAATATACAGTGTGCAGCAAAGGATCCAATCTCAGGAGTGAATTTAGGCATGTTTGTCAGGGGTCCACCGACCCCCAATAATACATGCAAATCCTTTAGTAAAGTGTTGTTATAAATTAAGAAAATCCGTACCATGTAATGAAGTTAGCCTTGATGACCCAATAATATTCTAGGCTAGATTCGCCCGTGTCCAAGCTATCCTAATATGCATGAGTAAGGGCATTGGAAGTGTATGAAGTCCCTATGAATTTTAAGATGGGCCCCACGTATAATAAGGTCCACCCTTATATTATGTTTAAGACAAAGTTTTAGCTTTAAGGTGGATCCACAATGAAGTAAAAGGTTCTTTCTAGAAACCACGTGCAACCAAGCTATACCAGCAGCGCGGTCACAAGGCAGAAGCATTACCATAGCTATTAGAGATGCAAGCGGGTTTGTTCGTGAGCCCGTAAATATATTTATTTTTTGTATGTTTTGTAAAAATGAAACATAGCTATTTGTGAGCTCGCAGACAATTCACCCGTCCCATGCATTTGTTTATTGCTTATAAGGAGTGGGTTTCAAGTATGAGAGCGGGCTTTAGTATTTTTTTTTTCCAAACACCGATGTTACTATGTATATGAGTATACGACCGACTTAAGGCTGCTCCCTTATCCTTAAGACTCCCTTGTTTTCTCATTTTGTGGATGCCCTAAGGTTTAACCAGTTAAATAAATGCTTGTGTCAAAATGTACCTAGCTTTCCACTCTCAGACAAAAGAGGAAGAGGTGTCAAAGACATGAAAATATAAAATGCTAAGTGCTTCGAACATATTCATATTCATATGTAAAAAACCAAAAAATTACTGCCAATTAACAACAAGTGTTTTTACACGTTTTGCAAGGATTGAGAAACGTGGGAAGGAAGAGAAAATAGTAAGATCGAGCTAGTACCATGTTGTCGTTTTTGTCACTATGATCCAACACATGTGACCGCTTTCTTTGTTTTCAGTGAGACAACAGATAAGGCCCAGATCAGTTCTAATTGTGCTTTGGCACTTAACAACTTACCAATATAATTAAATCACATTGGCCCTGTTCACTTCGCTGAAAAAACAAATTGAAAACACTGTCCCGCTGATTTGTTGTGAAAAAAAAATACTGAAAAAGACGGATTATAAGAAAAACGAACAGAACCATTATCCATTAAGAGCCTGTTTGAAGGACTTCATCTTGCTTGGGCTTCATGCTACTTCTAGAGGACACAGTGAAATCAGTTTTTCTAGATCAACCAGGTTTTAGTTTATTATGAGAAAAGAGAGAAAAAACAACTTTATGCTACAGCGTTCAAGAGTCCCTAGAAACCAGAACAGTTTGGTGAGAAAAAGCTTTCCCAAATGAGACGAACAACAGAGGATATGTAAAGAATTCATTTTTGAGTTATCTTAAAAGAGTTGTCTTAGGGCAGCTCCTGTATACGATTCGATTTTAGTGCTGATGAGGTGGATTTCAAGGCTCTCATCAGCTGATCTATAAGTTAATTGTGCTAATTTGTATGGCTAATTTATTGAAAAAAAATAATATATCATAACTTATAATAGCTGATTAGAGCCTTATGTGTGGAATTGATTGACCGGTGAATTGATTGGCTGGGGACCACAACAGAATAGAAAAGAGAAAAATATGTGTTGTTCTCTCCATACACTCTGCAAGAAAGGACGGAAGTAGTACTTGCTTAGCTGCACTGGCTGATTATTTTACTCGCTCGGTTTGAACCGTAAGGAAGAATCGATTTGCTTGGATCGGTTGCTTTAGTGTTGGAATCGAATCATACTTGAACATTCATATGTTTTCTATAAATAATTATAAACTAATTACATAAGAGTAGACTAATTTACTTAACAGCACATTAGAGCTGCTTTTACAGAGTAAATAATAGCCTTAGGCTTAAAAATTTAAATTAGTCGCAATCGTAAAAGTTTTTTTTAATCTATATTTAATACATATATCAAACATTCGATGATAGGTATTAAAATCGGTCTAATAACCAAACACCCAAATCGAATCATACTTGTTTTCTCTCTTCTCATAGTTCGGTTTTACAGCACATAAGAGCTGCTCTTAGAGAGTAAATAAGGCCTTGTTTAAATTCAGACGTAAAGTTTTAGGGTATCACATCGAATGGGTATTCAAATACTAATAAAAAAACAAATTACAGAATCTGTTATAGTCTGTGAGACGAATTTATTAAGTCTAATTAATCCGCCATTAGCACATGTGTTACTCTAGCACCACGTTATCAAATCTTGGACTAATTAGGTTTAAAAGATTCGTCTCGCAAATTAGTCACAAACTATGCAATTAGTTATTTTTTAGTCTATATTTAATACTCTATACATATCAAACTTTCGTGGAATATGAAGTAAACTTTAGGGTTAGAAACTAAACAAGGCCTAAAGGGTTGACATTTGGCTAGATCCCCAACAATGGTGGCACCACAAGATGAGGCTTTGTTGGTCCCACAACAATTAAACTACTAGAGGCTAAAGTTTAGTCCCGTCACATCGAATATTTGATTCTAATTAAAAGTAATAAATATAGATTAATTACAAAGCTAATTACATAAAATGAGGGCTAATTCACGAGACGGATCTATTGAGTCTAATTAATCTATGATTTGACAATGTGGTGCTACAGTGAAATATGTGCTAATTATAGATTAACTTATGCTTAATACATTCGTCTCGCACGAATTAGCAATGGTTTCTACAATTAGTTTTATAATTAACTCATGTTTAGTCCTATTAATTAGCATGAACATCCGATGTGACAATGGGCTAAATTTTAGTCGAGGATCCAAACACCGGCGCCTGCCTAACGTATAACAATAATAATTATATTTAAATATTATTTTCATATAACAGGTAAAATGTATAATAAAACCTCATGCTATTGGGAACCAAATCAAAATACATACACAGAAATTTGAAAAATCCGCAAACAGATATATAATTTTCTTCACCGTTGCATCCGTTGAGCCAGGCTTGGCTCGTCGGCGGTCGGCCAGCCAACCAAACAGCGTGAATCCGGCGAGCCAATGGCGTCCTTATCCATGCCGTTATCCACCTCAGCGGGCATTCCACCAATCCTAGCGCGCCTCCGTCGCCCCGCCTTATCCACCTCACCGACCCACCACCGGCACGACACGAACCATCTCGTTCTCGGTCTCTCGTCTCCACCACCGGCGCCTCGTCTCTTCGATTCTTCCCCTCTCTCCCCGGTCTCACCCCCGCTCCCTACAAAGTCCAAACCCTATCCCACCCCCACCACCACCACCACATGGCGGCGGCGCTCGCCTCCTCCCGCTGCTGCTGCAGCCGCCCGTCGCTGCCGCCCCTACCGACCCGCGGCCGCCGCTCCGTCGCCCGCTGCGCGCTCTCTGGAGGGGAGGTCAGGTTCATGGGCCCCAGCTGCATTTCTTATTATTTCTCTTCGGGTGTGTGTGAAACTGGGGGTATATGCTTCGATGTCTGTTTAGCAATGTGGATCGTTGGTACTGCATTGCAACTTCGGCCAGGCAGGTGAAGCACACCGGTGCCTAGCAATGCTGGCATGCTGATCCCGGCTGTTGATTGAAACCATGAGCTCAGCTGGTGAAGAATTTTTCTAGTTGAAGCTGTAAACTGGTGACGATTGTTTATGTCCGTTAGTTAGTAGTTTGGGTAAGATCAGATAAAAGGGATTTTTGTGCTTCCTGTGGGAATATGGGTAACAAGGTTCAGATTTTTTATCAGGATATAAAGGGTGCAGGGTTGCTCAATGTTGTGATTCATAATTCTACAAACTATTTGTGACGTGTAGTTGAGCAGTCAATGAAAAAGATGTGTCAAGTTGTTGAGCAGTCAGTGAAAAAGATGTGAAGTTGTGTGTAATCAATGGAAAATTGATGTTTTGCCACTTCCTTCAGACATCTGTCACGAAAACAGTAGGGTGGAAAAAAATCATGAAATGCGAACTAGTCTAGTGTCAAGTCCTGAGAATTCTCATCATTGAAATGGTACTGTGTGATAAGAGGAAAACAATGCCAGCCTTGAGTTTTTTGCTCAAAGATTCGAAGCTGAAAGATTAGTTTTCTAAACTAGACTACTGTAGTTTTTTTATTCATGCACCCAACAAATTATGCTTAAGATTATATCTACTGTACAAATTTTTCCAAAGTTATATTCTTTACTAGTACATTAATACCCATCTAAAGTGAGAATGCAATTCCTTAGCATGTTCTGAGCAATGTAAGCTTTGGGAGGTAACACTTTATGCCAAGGACATGCACTATGATTAGTACTGCATTTTAGAATGCGCTAATATGTCACCTCTCTCAAGTTTTCCTTACTACCATGCAGAAAAGAAACTCCTTCAGCTGGAAAGAGTGTGCAGTTTCTGTTGCATTATCAGTTGGACTAATCACCGGTGCACCAACTTTTGGGCCACTGGCGTATGCTTCTCCTCTTGAACCTGTTCTTCCAGATTTGTCTGTTCTTATCTCTGGACCTCCCATTAAAGATCCAGGTGCTTTATTGAGATATGCTTTACCAATAGATAATAAAGCTATTCGTGAAGTTCAAAAGCCACTGGAGGATATCACCAACAGCCTCAAGGTTGCTGGTGTTAGAGCTTTGGATTCAGTTGAAAGAGTAAGTCATGATCCAGGGTTTATCAGATGATGGAAACTGCATTTGATTACTGAAAGCAGTTGCCATTCCATTCCAAGTGTTATCAATTTGATTTACACCTCTTTTGTGGAACTTATGAATTTTCCTTTGAATTCTAGAATATTAAGCAAGCATCAAGAGCACTGAACAATGGGAGAAGCTTAATTCTTGCTGGTCTTGCTGAACCAAAAAGAGCAAATGGAGAAGAGTTATTGAATAAGTTGGCTGTTGGACTTGAGGAGCTTCAAAGAATTGTGGAGGACAGAAATAGGGATGCAGTAGCTCCAAAGCAGAAAGAGCTTCTCCAGTATGTTGGAACGTGAGTAAACTTACTCCTTGAAGCAAAACTACCATGTTCTTTTTCATGCCAGTGTAGTGCAAAGCAGCAATAGTTCTGAAACCTATTTCTGGATGCCAGATGTGAAATTTCTTGCCAGAAAGTTGTTGTGTCTATCAATATAATATTCTTGTTCACTGAGCGAAAATTCTTGTTAAGCAAAAATAACTCTAATGCTAGAGAACAGAATTGTATCTGCCTCTAAATAGCTGTAAGAACTGTTCTGAAACAGCTCTTCTCATTTATACCTTGTCATTGACTCTGCAGCTGAGATCTTGCTGGAACATTGCATTTCTGCAGTGTAGAAGAAGACATGGTTGATGGCTTTCCGTATGAAATACCAGAAGAGTACAGAACCATGCCTCTTCTCAAAGGAAGAGCTACCGTGGATATGAAGGTTAAAATTAAGGACAATCCCAACATAGAAGATTGTGTATTTCGGATAGTTCTGGATGGATATAATGCTCCTGTGACTGCTGGGAACTTCGTAGATCTGGTCGAACGGAAATTCTATGATGGCATGGAAATCCAAAGAGGTAATTCAACATTTCGGTCCTTCCTAACAATCAGTCTCTTTCTTGCACTATCCACCATTTGTTACAATGTTTCAATTTGGTAACCATTAAGTTTTATTAGACATGAGTTTTATTTGGGGAAGTAGTATATACATTTCTGCAATTCTGAGCCATCACAAGGATGATATTTCCTGGAAATTTCTTGAACATTACAATTCATCTAACCATTATAAATGTTCAATGTTTTAGATGACCTAGTGTGCCAAGAGGTCAGTGAGCTTTCTCTGAACTGTGTTGGTTCTTATGCAGCTGATGGCTTTGTTGTTCAAACTGGAGATCCAGAAGGACCAGCTGAGGGTTTTATCGATCCCAGCACTGGCAAAATTCGTACAGTACCTCTTGAAATAATGGTTGATGGTGATAAGGCTCCTGTATATGGTGAAACACTTGAAGTAAGCAGAAGCAGTCTTTTCTCTTAATCCTTTCATTTCATCAGTGCTTCAAATTTTCATCAGATTGGAATAAGCCCTTACATCATACGGGTCGATTTGCAGGAACTTGGCCGCTACAAGGCTCAAACAAAGCTTCCTTTTAACGCTTTTGGAACAATGGCTATGGCTAGAGAAGTAAGAGACATGCAGATTGCACATATCAGCATATGCAGACGATCTGCATAGTATCTAATGTATTCTAACCTGACATGACTGAATTGCTTGACAGGAATTTGATGACAATTCTGCTTCTAGTCAAGTATTTTGGCTCTTGAAAGAGAGTGAGCTAACACCAAGCAATGCCAATATATTGGATGGGCGGTACGTGGTATTTGGATATGTAACTGAGAATGAGGATTACTTGGCGGATGTCAAAGTTGGGGATGTCATCGAATCAATCCAAGTCGTCTCAGGCTTGGACAATCTTGTCAACCCAAGCTACAAAATTGTAGGATAACATGTTTGGTATCAGAGTTCCTTGTCTGCGAATCTGTCTCAAAGTCGATGTAAAGCGCTATATAGTATCTAACTGTCTTATCCTTCTCGCTTGTTAATGAGGTTTTGTGTCATGCGGAATTCAATATATTAATGAAAGTTCAAAGCTATTGATCGGTTGTCCCATGCCAATGCCATGTAGGTTCATAGTGCCAGTGCATTTAACATCACACGTTTAATTGAATATATTTTGCTTTTGTTACAACACAGAGAGTATGCTTAAATTGATAGTTTTTAATTGATTTTATGGTTTAGGCACAATTGCAAAAATTTTACCCCTGAAGAGCCGTAAATGCAAGTTTTCAGTTAGAAAAATATAAAAATGTCATGTGAGGTACCATTCAAGTGCCATTCTTACAAAATGTAAAAACCAGTGGTACTTTGTAAATTTCCCTATGATTTTTCTAGGGAGGCGTCACTTGTTGAATCCGTGTAATATGATACATTTCAAAAATTTTAAGATAACTTATGTAAATACTCATATAACACGTATACCCATGGATTAAACCAAGTAAGGAGTTTCTTCTTAAACTATAGTTTTCTTTATAACAAAGTTTGTCGAATCTGAGCATAAGGGCCACATAAAATGCCTTATATTTTATTACACATTTTAGAAGTCATAATACACTGTATTTCAGGATGGAGAGAGTATAAGGGGGTGTTTGATTCACCTAGCACCTCCTAAATTTAGTAACTTTTAGTCCCTTTAGTAACTTTTTTGTCAAACACCTTTACTAAAAGAGACTAAATAGCCTTACTAGAAGCTAGTCACTCAAACCTTACTAGAAGCTCCTAAAACCACCGCTGGACAGGGCTTGCCCTTCATCAATGCGCACCGTACCCCCTCACTCTCTCAGCTCGCTCACTCTCTCCCTCTCGTGCTCGCTCTCCTCTGCATTCCCTGCCGCCGCCACTAGTTCGCTCCACGCCGCCGCCGCTCCTCCCAACCCCTCCACCGGCGTAGCAGCTCATCCGCTCACCACTTCCGCCATGGACGGCCACGGGTCCGAGTATCCGGACTATTACTCGTAGTCCTCTTCTCCGGTGGATCTAAATGGCTCTGATCCGTCGTCCCCCCCCGGTCGCCGGCGACTTTGGCGTCTTCTCCCAAGCTTCATCGTATAGTGCGGGCTCCTCCACTCGACGCGACATGGAGGTGCTGGATCTGAACACCGACGCCGCCGGCTTCCCCTACATGGGCTCTTACTAGGGGCTCCTCCAAGGTGACCTCGCTCCCGGTAGTAGAGGGATGCTTCCTCTTCGCATTGGCGCCAGATCCGGTGCTGGAGGGTTCGTTCCTCCTCGGTCGACCGCAGGAGCGACCGGATCTAGGAACGCCTTTGCTTCTCAAGGCTACTGTCGCGCCGCTCTGTGGTGGGAACCGGCAGAGCCGCGTGCCACAAGCCGGCAGCTAGGGCTAATTTGCATGGAACAGCTTGCTTTGGCACTCGGCTCCTCCAACGGAAGGAATGGAACCAGAAGATGACGACGATATCCCGCACGAGGTGAGCTTGTTCTCTAATCTAATTCGTACTTTGCTCTGTTTATTATCTATGTTATGCATGTCTTATTTATGGTTCTGCATGTCTATTTTTTACTACATTCTCATACTTTTCATTTGATCTGATGTGTTAGGTTTTATTTGTTTGATGTTCAGATCTTTATTTGTCTAATCTGTTTGATCTACAGGTGTTTGTTAGGTTGTATTTGTTTGATCTACAAGTTTGTATGAACTACTACTGTTTAGTTGTTTGTTATTGAAGTGTGTACATGTTTCATGTAGTACTGTGTATTTGTTTGATCTATATCTATCTATTTCAATTTTTGTCTCTTGTTCTCTGATCTGCTTCTCTACTAGTTTGACAAGACAAATTGGTCCGATGCAAATACATTTATGTTCTCTTGTCTTGCTGTTGATGAAATGAGAAAGGGCAATTCAAGTAAGGGGACAATGACAAGGAGAGATTATGATAATTTGAGAGATTTGTATGAGCAACAGACTTGCCTAAAGCATGATCTTAGATGTATGAAGAATAGATTCAGCCAGCTCAAGGCCATGTACAGTTCCTACAAGTGGGAACAACTACAAACAGGTGTTGGCTGCCAAGAAAAAGGAGGGATAGATGCACCTCTATCTTGGTGGGATAGGCATACTAGGGTAATCTTTGTGCCTAATAATTTGTTTACTTGTTCTACTTTCATGTTGGTTTATGCTAACAGTGGATTCTTGTGATTTTTCAGAAGAAGCCAGAGTGTAGGAAATTCATGTATGGGTTGCCTAGATTCTTTCCTCAGATGGTTGAGCTCTTCCAGAACACTGTTGTTGATGGCTCAACTGCCACCATTCCTGGGCTGTCATGCCATGACCAAGACAGAGGGATAGATGAGGATGATGAAGATGGTGCTGCTACTCTAGACGACTGTGGCTTACAGCCCAGTTCACCAAGTATCACAAACAACCGCAAGAGGGCAAGCAGCACAACTGACACATCATCTAGTCCTAGCAAGAACAAAAAAGTTCCAGTGAATGTTATCATGCAGGGGCTGGTCACTCAATTGGAGATTGCTGCTGAGAATGAAGTCAATGCATTGGTGCGAATAGCACAGAGCAAGAGAGGGGAAGCTACAAAAGCAAAGCAAGCTAGAGCTGATGATGTTGCTAGGTGCCTCAATTTGGCTATTGAGGCTAGGGCAGACAAAGCTTCAAATGAATACTTTGATGCTACCATGCTATTTAGAAGTAGCTACAAAAGGTTCATCTTTAGTGGTCTTGATACAAATGAGCAAAGGATGGCATGGCTAAGGAGGGCTGCCCAAAATAAATGAGGATGATAGGATAGAATGGCAGATGGAGTCTCCAGTTTGGCACCCTTAATTTTATTTTGCTTAAGACCTTAAATTTATGATGAACTATGTAATCGTAATGAACCATGGTTTATGTTTGGACCTTGTAATGCTTGTTGAACAATGTAATGGCTCTTGTTGCCATTATTGTTGATGTTGGGGTAGGGGCTGCTGCTGCTGCCCAAGTATTTTTGTTCATGTCAACATTCAATGCTCTTTTAACATCTATTTCTTTTGATGACCAGGGTGCATATGAAGTGGGATTTGCTGCTGGAGTGGATGCTAGTGTAGGGGCTGATGTTGATGCTGGTGTAGGGGATGCTACAGGAGGGGCTGATGTTGATGCTGGTGTAGGGGTTGCTGTAGGATGGGCTGATGTTGATGCTGGTGTAGGGGTTGCTGCAGGAGGGGCTGATGTTGATGCTGGTGTAGGGACTGCTGTAGGAGGAGATGCTACTAGACTTTCTAATGATGATTGGTGGAGTACTACTGATGATGGTTCCCCTACTGAAGACTTAGATGACAAGTGGATGACTAATGATGATTGGCAGATGTTGATGGTGAAGGGGACTTCACTAATGATGAGGAAGCAGTTTTGCTGATGCATGTTGCTAGGTGTCAGCAGAAGAGGAGAAGGATTGCTACTGCTGTCATGCTGCTAGGTATGTACCACTATGACAAGTTCATGAACAAGGCTGGTTATAGAGTCCCACATGAAACTGGATATCAGTGGACTATGAGAACCCTAGGAAATAGGACACAATGCTATAACATGTTTAGGATGCACAGCGATGTTTTTTATAGCCTTCACACTTTGCTAGTTGAGAGATATGGTCTGCAGTCCACTACAAAAATGACTTCTATAGAGGCTCTAGCAATGTTTTTGTGGATGTGTCGTGCCCCTCAGTCCATGAGACAAGCTAATAATAGATTTGAGAGGTCACTAGGGACATGTAGCAACAAGTTTGATAAGGTACTGTCTAGTGTGATCAAGCTAGCAATTGATATCATTAGGCCAAAGGATACACAATTTTCAACTATTCATAGAAGGTTACAATCTCCTCGGTTTGCTCCGTACTTTGATAAATGCATTGGAGCTATAGATGGGACACATGTACCCGTCACTGTGCCAACTAAGAAGGTAGTCTAGTACACAGGAAGGAAAGGAATCATCACACAGAATGTGTTAGCCGTATGCGACTTTGATATGAGATTTACTTTTGTTCTAGCCAGATGGCCAGGATCAGTTTATGATATGAGGGTGTTCAATGATGCACTTGAGAAATTTGGTGACAAGTGTCCACATCCACCTCTAGGTATGTATGGGCTTTTACATTTCTTCATTGTCTTTGTCATAGTATTTGTCATGTTACTTACACTAGTATTGTGTTGTGTAGATAAATTTTATCTTGTTGACTCGGGGTACCCAAATCGACCGGGTTTTCTTGCACCGTACAGAGGTACAAAATACCATGTGCCCGAATGGAGAGAAGGGCCTGCACCTAGAGGTAAAAAAGAGCTCTTCAATTACACACATTCTTCACTTAGAAATGTTATAGAAAGGTCTTTTGGAGTCCTAAAGATGAAGTAGAGAATTTTGTTGGATTTGCCTAGTTGTCCCATGGCAAAGCAAAGCAAAATAATAATGGCATACATGGCACTACACAATTTCATTAGACAGAGTGGTATGATGGATGACCTCTTTGACTTGTGTGATCAAGATGAAAACTATATACCAATAGAGGAAGAAACTTCAACTCAAGCAACTAGAGGCACCGCATGTTTTGGAGACGAAGATGAAAACATGAATCAATTTCATGATTGGATAGCGAATGGTTTGTTTACAAGGTCATAGCATCGCTATGGTTTGTAATAATAAAGTTTTTTGTAAACCATTTGAACATTATTTGTGAGAATGTACATTACGGCAAACAGCTTCCATAGCAATCAAGCTGAGCTACAAGGAATGGCGCTAGCGTGCAGCCAAGCTGTTTGCCAAGCAGCTAGCAGAGCATGCCAGGCAGAGCAGCAAGCAGAGCAGCAGCAAGCCAGGCATGGAATTGGCGCCAAGGCCGCACGCTGGAGGTAGCGGCACTAGCAGGAGCTAGCAGCGCGACACTGTTGGTGCCAAAAGCCAGGGGTACCAAGTTAGCATTAATGAGGGGTATTTTGGTCTTTATAAGCATGTACAGTCAGGTTTAGTCAACTAACCAAACATGGCCTCACTAAAATTTAGGAGGTACTTTAGTTGACTAGATTTAGGAGCTGGGAACCAAACATGGCCTAGTATAGGTGGATTGACATGTCCAACTATGAGTACCTACAACCCTCAAATCCAAATTCAGAAGTAAAAAGTCTTTTTAAAAATAGGACAAAAACCTCTAAAGTTCGCTTATAAAAGGCATTTCACTTGAAAATTTTGAGGGCATGCAATCCCACTTGCTTGTTGTGTGATCAAGAGTCAAAAACTGCTCCCTTTGTCTGCACTGCCCTTTTGCCAAGAAAGTCTATGAGTAAATAAGAGCATAGAACACTAATGTGATTAGGGGACCTTACTATCAAAGATTGGTGGGCATAGTCGTTGCAGAACCAAAATGGCCAACAATCTCCTATCTCCTACTACAACTAAAAAGAACAAAGCGTGGACACTTTTTGGTGCAACAATCCAACTTCGTCCTGTCGTTCTGCCCATGCGAACCTGTGTACGCCGGCTTCTATCGCTTCCCCTGCGACCCCATGCCTCACCCGGTAGGCGCCCCCACCGCCGGCCCTCCATCCTCCTCGGCTCCTCTCGACTCGGTCTCAATACACCGCCTTCACCCCATTCATCACCTCCCCGGTGTCCCTCGCCCCTTCCCGTCAACATCGGCCCTTGATCCTATCCCATCCCGCTTCGACGGCCATGGCGACGGGGACAGGTGAGAACCGGGAGGAGGGAGCAAGTCTACACGGTCTCCCTTTTCCCCGCTCATTCCCACTCCACCTCCGCCTCCGCCTCTGCCTCTAGCACCTGCAATCTGCACGCGCCCCTCGCACAAGTGCGCCCAGTCTATGCACCCCATCCCCTGACATCACACCCCTACCTGGCTCTACGCCGCCGACGCCGCAGATGGGACCTGGCCCTACCACAGTCCCACACGGCCCCATCGTTTCGTCACCCCGGCCTCCGGCACCCCTCCCCCAATCGCTCCGCCCTGCCAAGCTCGACCTCGTCGATGTCTGTGGCCCTACCAACCTACTTCTCCCTGGCAATCATATAGGTAGACAATGAACCCTAGGTGGCTGGTCTTCGAATCGCCACCCGGTCTCCATCTGGATAGCGAAATGATGTGTTGCTTCAATGTAATTGCAGGAGCCACGTGTGGATGGACCTAGATTCGGGAGCACATTGGAGTTGCATTTTTGTGCCTCCTGCACCACCCAGCACCTCATCAGCAAGGACGCCAAGGTCATCCTATCAAGCCACTTGGTGAGTTTTTGGCCTTCCTGTATCTCATCTGATTTGAGGAAGTAATGCTCTTCCCACGCATGGACAGCATAGGAATTGCCTTCCTATCATCCGAGTGTTTGTGATAATCTGATTTGCTTTGGTTAAGTAATACTATATACATGGACAAAGGACACTGGCTATTAGTTGTGACTTTCCTTCAAAACAACTAATATCACTTTTTCCATTGTGAAAGAGAATTATTTTATATGGTCAGGTGCTCACCCAGTCCGCGTCCTTGAATCCACAAAGGGGTGCATTATGCAAATGCTTGGCTTTGGGGACGCTGTTGTTGTGTGCCCTGCTTGCAGGAAAAGGTCCCCAAATTTTAGTTGGATGTGATGTCGTGCTCCAATTTTACATTCAAGTTTGCACTGTCAATTCTCTAGCTTTGCTCTGAGATTAACTATTCTCTATTCGATCATTTGCCATGGCTTTGCAGGTACTGATGAAATTAGTGAAGCAGGAAATGGCATGAAGATCAATAATAAAAGGATGTAGCACAACTGGGAAAGGGGCACTTGCAGCTGTAACTCAGACGTACCCAAGGTTCATTTAGTTTCCCTCCTAGAACAAGTAACATGTTCATGTTTCCACGATGCTAAGGCCAAAAGGCATGTCATTTTCTGCTTGACATTAAAATAATAATTTGTTTATTAAATAGTGGTCATGCACGTGCGGTACGCACGTGTCTATGGTACAACAAACTCATATCTAAATGTGTGATGGAAGTTGTTCCTATCAACCAGGAAACTTCTTCATTAGCAATATCATAAGCCTCAGTCAACAATCATAAATTCATAGTCATGTAACATTGAACTGAACAGGTGTAGTAAGTTATTGCAAAAATGATTTCTAGTTCTTAACCGAAACGGATCAATTGTTCATGTGCTTCCAAAAAGCCAGCATGAGCTTCAATGACCCTTACATTTTTGAGATAATTCCTTATTTGACATCAGACAAATGACCCGTTCCTTTCTTGGCCCTCAAAAAATTTATGTTCCCTATTTGACACCGAGTTCAACTTTCATTCATTATACAACACTCCAATGGATTTTCCATCCGTGAACCGTTAACTGCCATGTGAAAAGATGATTTTGCCCCTCTAGGCCACACCACCCTTCTCCCTCCTCTCCTCCCCTTCTCCCTCCTGTCCACGCCCGTATAAGCAGCATGCCGGCGGTGGAGAAGGCAGGCGCGTCGCGGCCCTCGCCGGTCGTCCCCACTGCTGCGGCTGGAGCCCCCTTCCTCCTCCGATGAACCACGCCACCCTCCTCCTCCACCGAGGAGGAGGAGAAGAGGGTGAGCTGCTGGCAGATCCGGCCGCCGAGGTGCGTCGCCGCCGCCACCGACGGAGAAGAAGAGGCAACGCGCCGCTGATAGGGCCAGCCACGGACCGGAGCCACAGGCGGGGAAGAGGAAGAGGCGACCATGCATGGCAAAGGGGCTACGACGGCGAGCAGCGCACACAGCGTAGTGAGAGAGGAGCAGGGGCCCAGCAGCGGTGGCCACATCGGGAGGGAGGAGAGAGAGAGAGAGAGAGAGATGCGCACACGGCGGGGGGAGGGGAGGTAGGATAGCGGCAGCGGGCCCACAGTTGCTGGCACCGACGGGGTCTGGCCACGCCGGAGGGCGGCGGTCACGGGGGCCCGGCCGCTGCGCCGCTAGATCTAGAGGAAGAGGAGAGAGAGGGAGGAAGAGGAAGGAAGGGGTGTGCTGCTTATACGGGTGCGGACAGGAGGGAGAAAGGGAGGAGATGAGGGAGAAGGGTGGTGGGGCCCATAGGGACAAAATTGTCTTTTCACATGGCAGTTAACGGTTCACGGATGGAAAATTCGACGGAGTGTCGTATAAGGAATAAAAGTTGAACTCGGTGTCAAATAGGGAACGGAAATTTTTTGAGGGCCAAGAAAGGAACGGGTCATTTGTCTGGTGTCAAATAAGGAATTATCTCTACATTTTTAGGTCATGCTATATTGTAAATAAAAAACATACCTATAGATAAAAATCATTTACCCTGCTAGAAATGCGAAAGGATATCGAATATGAGTGTCGAGTTTTTACTTCGATAAGATCAGATAGAGTCTCTAAATAGAATGGGCAAATATTATGAATAAGATCTCATAAGCTATCTTTTTGAACATGGTGTTTATTCTCTTTTAGCAGCTATTTCATACAGCAAATGTCAGGGATCAGCTAAAGGATATAGAAGAAATATGTATTTCATTGCATTTTTCCCACAATTTTCAGAGTTCAATTACTAACAATGCAAGCCATAATTGCCAGCTTTACACGCGTCCCTAATTTTTTGCCACTCTTACGTTTGGTGCATATATCTCGTCGGAGCTCAGGTCATCGAGGTCCAATTCTGATGGGGTCCACCGTCCACATGCATGGGTGTAGCACCCGGTTTTAAGAACAAAACCAGATACACACCATATGTGAGCCTAGGAAGTCAAATCTCATATATAGCTACAAATAAGGGTAATATCAATAGATAATGCTCAATATATAACGTACTTAGTATAAAGAATATAACCTTAGATAACAAACAGCGGAAAGACAACTCCGATCTTCGGGTGACGACTCTAATTCCACAGGGACAACTGACTGGTTGATCACAAGCCTAATTCCTCCAAACTCTAGCAATCTGGTACCCATCCGGGATTTTTATCCAAATAATTGAAAAATAAAGCAAGTATAAGTACATGTCGTACTCAACAAATATAACATGGGGTTCATGGGGCTTAAAAGACTGACACTGGTTTAACTGCATTTAGCTTTTAATGAGTCATCTTTTAGCGATTGGGTGGCAACAAGTTTATCACAAGCCCATAAACACATGATCAGGTAAACATGAGTAATGAATAGCATAAACAGTCATCATTAGTGAGCATTTTCATCATCAGTAACATCTGTGTTCATCATCTATTCTGTAAGGGTTCCAAGGCCGCTCGTGACCGTGAGCACGGCTGATATACCAGTTTTACACTCTGCAGAGGTTGTACACTTTCACTGTGAGTCATGATTTACCCTTTCACCTAAGGCGGCCAACCTCTTGACCCACTACCAAGGAATGTCGACAGGGTTCACTATGAAGCCTTTCAAAGGTTCGTCTAACAAGTTAGGGCCGCTAAGGTTTCCCCATCAGTAAGCATAAACCCCCCTCTAAGGAGTGACTAACAAAATACAAAGAAACCAAAGTGCACCCTCTTGGCAGGCCGAGATCATACAAACCGAGCCCCTCTTGCGCCATAAAGGTAACCTCTAACAAGCTAGAAAAGGTCCTCATACTAAGCTAAAGCCAGAGCCATATAGCCCTCACAGTTGTACTGTAAGTCCCAGATGATCACTTACAGATAAGTCCTTAGGGAGAGGAATCTATAGCATTTAGAAAGTAGCTAAACACTCCAGCCCCCTATTTCTATGTTGCTAAAAAACATCTTTTAGTGTGTATTGCATATACCATTAGTCAAGTTACAAGATCATGGTTGTAGTTGAGCACTAGCATCATACTATCCAATGCAATACCCCATAGGTAACAAGGCACAAGATAACAAAGCACTAAGAAATCCTTAGTGGCAGTCAAGGTAGACACATGCAATATGAATTAAATGATTACTAAGGTGAATAGGACAACAAGAAAGATCCCATGCTATACTTGCATTAAAACTTAGATCCTTCTTCGAGTCTAAATCTTCAAAGATCTGCTTCTTGATTCACCACGTATATCTCACGGACTGGACATGATAATAAAGCACCACACAAGCATACATGCAATCATACACGAAACAAACAATAGATCTAAATTAGAACAGTACACCAAACATAAAATCAAGATGAAAAGTTTATAAAACGAATCTACGTCTCGCTACGAACACACAGACGCGAAAATCACGCTAAACGGAGCTACGGTTGAAAAGATTCAACTACCGAAAGATTTGCTTTATAAAAGTGAACCAAGAGTTTTATTAATTTAATCTATATCAAAGGATGTATAAGATATTTCAGAGAAATACCTAAGTTGTATTAAGTCAAAATTCATATTTGCATTTAGAAGACAAAATAGAATTAATCATATTTTATTTACAAATCTAAGTCATAATTATTAATCAAATTAGAGTTTAAACCATGAAATTCTAGGAATAGTGACATGATAAATATCATTATTAATGTGTAGTTTATGTTATTACAAATCCAACACAACTTGAATGGGCTAAAATGGAGTTAAAACGTAGAAGATATGAATTTAACAAGATTTCCTTTAATAAAATAATAGATTAAATCTAACCTCAAATTTTAAAAGTTTAAAACATACATAACAGTAGTACGAATATGTAGATTATGAAATTACAAACCTAACGCAAGTTGAACGGGTCAAATCCGAGTTAAAACGGAGAAGTTATGGCCTAAAGAAAATAGTGGCAAAATTGTAAATAGCTAAAATATATTTTGGTTCTAAACCGACGAAACTACGCTTTCCAAAGAAGAAAATGTAATCTGTGATTATGCTTTGGACCGCGGGTTCTATTATTGAAAAACGCAGGGACTCTTTAGCAAGATGGCCACGCGAAGGGGTATCTCCTATTTTCAGCCATTAGATCGGAATCAAACGGCCAGGGTAGCACGGAAGGAAGAAAGCGGCCGGAACAGGACCGCCGGCGAACCTATCGGCGGCGGCGCCATTGCCGGAGCGGCGGCGCTCATAGTTTTTGGCCTATAGAGCACGGTTTTCAACGGGAAAGGAACGAGGCGGAAGAGGAGGTTTAGGAGAGCTCACCTAGGGCACTTGTGGGGACCTCCAAGCACCGGCGACGGCGCGCGGCTTGGCGAAGCTGACGGCGGACAGCGGCGCTAGGTTGTGGCACGGCTTGGCGTCTCGGAGACGCTACAGCTAGCTCTTTGGGTTCAGATGAAGGCGGCACAACGCAGGGCTCGGATTTTATGAGGCGAGGCGACGTGGGGGGCACACCACCACGAGGACTCATGGCAGGGTCAGACACGGTCATGGCGGCATGGAGTCCTGCTCAAACACGAGCTGAAGAAGACGGCTCCGACATGTGGGCCTAGGATATCAGTGAAAGAAAAGGTGTGGCCCGCGATGTCAGCGAGAGAGAAGGGAAAACGCGGCGCGGCGGCGGCGTGCTGGGCCGGAGCGCGGGAAAGATGGACCGCACAGGTAGAGGGGAGGCAGGTGAAAGGTCGAGATGATGGACTAGAGGGGGGTGAATAGTCCTTTCTAAAAATAATCGCGTCGGCTAACCGAAATAAGTACGGAGTTAGAACTATCGGTCTAGCCAAGACTACACCCCTCTATCTATGTTCTCTAGCACCATCCAAAGATACTAATTAAGCAACAAAGGTGCTGGGCTTGCTAGAGCTCACCTAACTAATTCTAGAAGCAAGGTCACACAAACCTATGCCACTAGTACTTCAAGCAACTAGGGAGCTCCTACACATGCTAGTAAGCAAAAGCAC